AGCCACTTTGGTCCAATAACGTAACCCAATAATTAAGATGCTGAAAATATTATCCGATAATTTGGGAATTGAACCACTATCTTCATAAATATTTAAGCATGTATGCATGTGTTCAAAACAGAGGCCTGTAGGAGAAGCCGTTAATAGTGAAGCCTCCGTCGACGCAAATAGTTTGACCAGTAATATAAGAAGCTGCAGGAAGACAGAGAAATGCCACAAGCGATGACACTTCATTTGCCTCTCCAACACGTCCCATTGGTGTCACACTCTCCACCTTTTCTTTTGTATCTTTACCACTGAGAAACTGATTACATTTTCACATAAACCAAATTTTATTAAAATATATATATAGTTTGTTAATTTTGGATCTACTTGTATCCGGTTTGAGTTAGTACTCAAATATTTTGGGGTGAAAAGAATTAAAATTATATGTTTGGTTCAAAATACTTTATTTCATATCGATAACACATGAGTCGAATAATTATTTAAAGTATCCAATTTCTTTTTCTATAATATCCAAACTACCTAAAATTACCCGCAATGATCCAAAATACCGAATCCATATCTAACTCTTACTTGTTCGAATAATGATTTTAATTATCCATGCTTCACCCATATCTAACTATTTTCTATGTTGATCTACTTTTTACCTAAAATGAAACAGACCTAGCTAGTATTAATGAGTATTTTTTTTTTCTTATGACTTACATTTTTAGTTGAAGGAGTTGTGATGAACCATGGACAAACAGAGTTAACCCTTATGTTATCACTCGCCCACTCGCATGCCAAATTTCTCGCGAGCTGATTCATGGCTCCTGGAATGCGTACATTTCTGTTAGTCTCCAAAAATGAAATGATCATCATTAGGTGTTTGATTATACTTATGAAGACCTTTTGTTGCCCCATAGATGGATGTAAGACTCAAGTTCACAACCCCAGCAACGGAAGACATGAGCACAATGTTCCCTGAAGCAGAGGCTTTCAACAAAGGATGCGCGAGCTGTGAGAGATGGAAAGCTGACTCGAGATTTGTAGCCATTATAAAAGAGAATTCTTCAGTCGTACACTCTGTGGTCGGCTTTACTACACCCGTTCCGACATTGCTTACCTATAATATTACACAAATGAACAAACAAACAAAACATGATTTGGTAATTGTACGTGGAACCAAGCTCCACCGGAAAACGTCTATACTCACGAAGATGTTGAGTTTTCCTTGGAAGATAGAGGAAACAGTCTCCATGAGTTTCTCTCGTTGGTCACGAGAAGAAACGTCGCAAACAGAAGTGGTAACCTGAAACCCTTTTGCTTGCCATTCACGTAAGCTTTCTTGAAGCTGATTTTCGTCTCTGGCACATGTGTGGACTCTTGCTCCCAACATGGTTAGTTCCTCCACCACAGCTTCCCTAAATATGCGTTTATACATCATAAAGCTTTTCTCTTTTCTGAGATGTTGTGTTGATTACACATCGAAATTCAATACCATAAAAATATCCAAATATATAAATCTATGATTGAAAATTAATGATGAAACAACCGAGCTGTTTTTTTTTTTTTTTAACATTGGATTCGAATTAATACTTTCATAAACATTAACTCTCAACCTCCAATTAAATCAGCAATAATCAAATAACAAACAGCGGAAATCATAGAAACCCAATTCATT